CGTGAGTTTGTTCTATGTATATCAAAAAACTTGTTGCAAAGGCTAGCAAATATCTCTATTTTAGTTTAAAAGTTTTTAAATCAGAACGGAAGAGGCTGAGCATCTCATGCAAAAGGTATGCTTATTTCTTCCACCACCACCATTCCCCACAAAAACAAGGCAAAAGTCATTTTAACTTCATTTCTAAAAGAAAACATGATTTTAATTTGGGGATTTGGTCTACTTCTCTTTTTGTTGTTTTTTTCAATTACTGGAGCTGATTTTCTTAGAAAAAATTACATGTGTATTAAAAACACCTGAAAATCCAGAGAATAGGGGCTGGTCCAGTGGCACAGCAGTTAAGTTCGCATGCTTGGCTTCCAGGGCCCAGAGTTCACTGGTTCAGATCCTGGGCACGGACCTACACACTGCTTATCAAGCCATGCTGTGGCAGGCATCCCACATATAACGTAGTGGAAGATGGGCACAATGTTAGCTCAGGGCCAGTCTTCCTCATCAAAAAGAGGAGTATTGGCGGCAGATATTAGCTCAGGGCTAGAAATCCAGAGAATATGCAAAAGGAAAATAATCAGAAATGGAAAACATATATCGAGTCATTCACCCAGAGATAAACCCATCACATTGGACTCATATTTTGTTTATATTTTCCCAAAGTAATCAGATCAAATTATATATACTGTTATGTGACTTGACCAAAATATCCCTCTTCATACATTAACATAGAACAAAGTTTTAAGGCTCCTCTCAGATTCGGCGAAAATGAAATGATGAATTCCAATGCTGGTGGCAAGTGATGAGATGCAAGTGTGTGCAAAGTGATGAGGGAACCCAAGAAGGGAGCCAGTTAAGCCCTTCTGGGAGCTGACACTTGGATCTCGAAGGATACCAAAATTTGCCAGGCATTTCCCAGATAGAAGAAACAGCCCATGAGAACCTACTAGAAACCTTGATAGACCGTGGACTGTAGGAGACCAAGCGGGTGTGGTGAGTGGGGTTCAACACGAGGTGAGCAGAGGGGTGGGTGGGTCCTGGGTGTGAACAGCTTTGTCTGTCAGGCTGCAGAGTGCGGAATTTGTTCTGTTGACACTGGGGGACCAGGAACTTTACACAATCCATTACTGCCTCACCTCATGTTAAAGCAAATGATACCCAGGGAGCACAACCAAAACCTGGCTTTACTCTTTTCTTAAGAATGGATTTTTTAGAATCTTGGGGCTTAAAAAAACCTTCCTATACAAGCCAAATACAGTCTTGATGAACGTTTCTCAGAAAATTCTAATCACCTGTGCAGAAGCCTCTTAAGCACCTTTGGAGTTCTTCAGTGACCTGCCAGAATACTGCCTTCAGGGAACTCCTGCAATGGCAAATTTGTCTTTAAGGAGCAACCTGCCCAGAAGTTGTTCAGGCCACTCTCCCCAGTAGGAAGGAATGTGTTTGGCCATGCTGATTTATGCCTGCGGGGAAACTCTGATGAGGAAAGCTCTGTAACCCAGGATTGGCCAGCTTTTTGGTTTTTGTTCTTTAATCTCAGAACCAGCTGTTTCTTAACCAGCTCATTGGCGCCACCCAATGGGGAAGTGCTAGAATACACCTTTGAAGGGCTGTAGGCTTTTGAAGGGTGGATGGAGCTGAGACAGCCTTCCTCGCTTCTGATCTGTTATTTCAACCATTCCTCCCCTATAAGAATGTTGAGAGGCATCCCAATAAACAGTTTCCCACCTGCATTTGGAGGTTGCGGTGTGGTGAGGAAAGCGCTGGTCCTGCCTTTCACAGACTAACCCAGCAGCTCTGCTGAAGTCGCATATCCGCTCTCAAACTGTTCCCTCTTCTGCTTTTTTGTTTTTTTTTTCTAAACTCTTCCATATTTCTAGTGTCTACAGTCTTTTAGTGGCATAATCGTTTTAGTATTTACCCATTGCACTTGTAATTCAAAGTGGCATCAGTCTGCGTTAAGAAAAAATATCTCCTTGGCATTTTGAAAAGTCAGGAATGATTGCAACCATCTATAATTCATGTATGTCAATTAACATATGTCAAAATCATCCAAATGCATACTCATAAGAATGTGTCACCTGGTGTAGTGGAAAGAGCTGGCCTTTGCACTCAGATGGACCTCTGCTGAAATCCCACCCCTGCCACTCTCTGTGGCACTTTGAGAAGTGACTGTCCCTCTCTGAGCCTGTTTCCTCATCAGTCCAATGGGGATGGCAGCTCTTCCTCCACAGGATTAGGGTAAGAGTTACATGGGGTAATGTCTATAGAGCCGCAAGGGACACTGGGAGTGATGGACCTTTGTTTCATGGAAGCAACTGTTACTGTTTAGGCTCTGCAGCCACCTATCCACCCAGAGCAAACCACTTCTGCTCTGAGGACCGGATTCCTCTCTGTCAAATGGGATCATTCCTTCTCTTAGATTACAGATGCAATGATATAACCATCCGAAAGCTTAATGGGTGCTTAAGAAATGCTAGTTCCTTTCTTTCCGAAAATATTGACCCATTGCAAATAAGTACAGAATTAGTTATAAAGCCAAAATTGTGTTCATCCCATGATCCCTCCCTCACTCACTCTTTCCTTCTCTCTTTCATACACAAACACACACACACACAAGGCATTCCCACCTTATTTTTCCCATCTCTGTCATCAAAAGTTAACCAAAGACACAAGAACTTTTGGAAGCTTAACAAAGGAACAGCAGATTCGCTTTAAGGTCGTCGTTTATTTCCGTTCCTCCCACCAGGCTGTGGGTCCTTATTTGAACAGTTGCGCATTTAGCTGCCTGCCCGCCACCACTGGCCTCGTCCTTCTCGGCCCCTTTGCTCCAGCAACAGCAACCCCAGATCCCGGGCGGGCTGCACCCTGGCCACTCTTCCCTCCACTGTAGCCCCTATTTTTCAGATCTTTCTCCCACCCTCATCCATCAGGCTCCTTCTCCTCCAAATTTTGGAGCCCATCTCTGAGTACATTATCAGAGAAGTCTCTCAAGCCTCTTTCCCCAGCACGAAGTGAGGGCTGCCATGTTCGTGCTTCTGAAGAGACCAAAAAAGGGAACGAATGAATACTGAGTTCATGCATATGTTAAGACTTTTAACCTTCCCAATCACCTTCCCAGGAGAATATCAGCATTCCACTTCTCAGATGAGGAGACTGAGGGCCCATTCATTGCTTAATTAAACATTTATTGAACATCACTGGGAATCCAGCAGCAAACAGCAGACACAGCCCCTTCCTCTGTGGCTCTTACAGGATCTTACATGGGATGAATCCAGGAGGCAAGAATGAAACAAATAATAGACTAGTCCAGTTGTGAAGGAAGATGCTAGGAAAGTAGAAGAGGAGGCCGTGCCCTATCTCGGAGGTTAGGGAAGGTATCCTTAAAAAGGGGTATTTCAGCCAAAGACCCAAAGGCTAGGGGAGGTCACACAGGGGTAGTAAGGGCAGAAATGGGATCTAAATGTGGGTGCATTTGATTCTACCAGGCCTCATGGCCTCTCCTCCTCTAAATATCTGCATTTGTGTCATTGTATTTTGGCTTGTGATCTACATGTCTTTCTCCCGGATAGATTGTAGCTCCTTGCAAACAGCAACCTGGTCCATAGTACAAGCAATAAGCATCGTAAATGGTCATTTAATTTTTCAATATATGTATCTCTATGTACTTGCTTGTATCGAATAATATTATAGGGGTGTGAAAGTGCCTAGATTCCACCACATATGTTCTTTCTTTAACCAACCTGCTGGCATGCTTTCTAAGACTCCCTGAGCACTCCTGTTTGCCATCTCCTCTTACTCAGATGTTTTCTGTTTTATAGGCTGGGGTGACCCAGGGTCAGTGAGCAAGAGATGTAGCAGCTGGCATCAGCTCTGCAGCAGGTGGAACATGGAAGCAGCTCGTTCACCTAATTAAAATGACATGAAACGTGTCCTCCCTGAGCATGGCACAGGGCTCATTGCCAGCTTGCTATCCAGGCCCCATTCTTGAGGATGAAAGAGGGGCCACCAGCCTGTGCCAGGCTCTGTGCTAAGGGTGGGGGATACAGGATGAAAGCATATATAGTGATCGAATGAAGATTTCTTTTATCTGGCAGTAGCTCACAGTCAAGCAGGGCTAACAGACACCCCCATCCTCCATGCACACACACATGTATAAACCAGTTCATTGCATGCCACTCCAGGTGGGCACAGGTGGGGGTGTGGCTAACTCTACAGGGGGTGGGGTGGGAGGGTCGGATGGTCTTCCAGGCTGGTAAAAGTCATCTTGGCTTAGTTGGGAACATGAGTGGTAGTCAAGTAAAGAGGACAGGGTGTGGTAGAAACAGGCCACAGGCAAGGGTCTCAGCCTGTGCAGAGGCCCAGAGAAAGAGAACGGATGACACGTTAAGATCTGTAAATGCCCCCAAGGGCCAGGCAGGTGATGTAAATGGGTGAAAGGCCAGGTGGTTGCATGTCAGACCCACTGGTATATTCTTCATTTCCGTTAAGAAATGTCCTTCCTCCTGCTTTGCTTGACTTATACCCACTTAAGCTACCCTTCATTTTTCCATCTTTGACTGAAACTTAGGTAAAGAGAAATTGTTCTCCACTCTAAGAAAAACAGCAGTCTAGATCCAATTATATCTACCAGTAAGTGAAACTTTATTCCTATTGGAGAGACAATTGAGAGTGGTGGGGCCTGGGGCAAACTGGAGAGCGTATTCTCCCTCTGAAGAGGAGTCATTCTTCAGCTCCAGCTGCTTAGTGGCTCCAGACCTTGCAATATTTCAGAAAAAGCAAGCAACCTGGATTTTTGGCAAGCTAGCCAAGTTTTTAAACATCGTTTTGATTTTAAAAAGCAAAAGCAAAACACAACACGTTTGCATACTGAGCCTTATTCATGGGCCATGCTTGCAACCTTGTGTTTAAAGGCTCCAGAGGTCCCCAGGGTATTTTTCACAATCCGTCAACAAGTCATTGCTCTGCTTTCAATTTCTCCTAACCATCCTTCTCCCTCTGCTTTTCAGAAAGAGATGACGAGCAGGATGTGTCACTAACGCCCCAGCTTACCCTTCGGAAGAAAGAGAAAAGCTGTTTCCTGCTGGAGCCCTGAGCGGGGAGGAGGGAGAGCTCCCTGGCTGAAATGGCGCACCTCCTTCCAGAAGCGGGCGAGGTGGAGACAAGCGGTGGCTACGGTGGCTCCGAGAGACGTTCTCCCCTCCCCCCGGACGCTTTTGGCGGTCTGAGTGCTGCTAGCCCCAGGTGTGGACCTGGCCGACCTCGGCTGGGAGAAGGACCGCCCCTCCACCTTCCCGGCTCCGAATCTTCCAGAAGACGGCGCTGCCCTCCGTGCGTGTCACAGTCCTGTCTGTGACCTGCCGCCTAAGCTTCACTGGAATTCAGGTTTAGAGACTGAGATACCTATTTGTAGTTTTCCACTTATCTGCCTTGTCCGCTGGCCGACTTTTCTGTAACGTGTTTTCTAAGTACCCAGTGAATTTTGGAACTCTGGATGCTCAGCAAGTTCTTCTATAACAAGCCTTCGTGTTCAGGTCTTGGAAAGCTCCTGCCTTGATCCTGTGGTCCAACTTGTAAGTCAGAGACCTGAGACCCAGCCCGCAGCATCAACACAGTTTCCCTAATTGGGAGTTTTATCAGGGACCACTCCATGGGGGGCTTGTCTCTGCCCCACACAGGGTCTGCACGCTTTACCTACAGGGAAGAGAGTGGTTGCTGGTATAAGGCTGACGATTTACCAGTTCACCTTGAACAGAATGTGTTTCTTGTAACCACACCATTCCTTGCCTCTTCCATTCAAGATCTTTTTTACTGTTTCCCAGGAGAGAGAAATAAAAGGAAGTTATAAATGACCAAGAAGGATCAGCAGAAGCCCTGAGCCACATCAGTGCAGCGTTTGTCCTTTATGAAAGGGGAGGGAGTCGTGGCTGACTCTGCCTAACACTAAAATTTCACTGAAAAAGACAAAAGTACAATTGGTTATTCGGTGCGTGTAGCTGAAACGCCCAGCTCATTGATTTACAGCCTTCCTAACGGTCCCTCTGCGTTTCTAAATCCAGCCGATGTTTTCTTCCTCTTCCTCCACGCTCCCCCCTCCGCTGCTCTGTTATCTTATGGCACAAAATTAATTTCTGCGCCTCTCATTGTGCCACAGTTGCCCGGGTAACAGTGGAGCTGGAGCTGACTTCCTTCTTCCATCCGTCCCAATTTTTCTATTCCAGTAGACAGAATAATGCAGTCTGTGCTACATCCTGCCTTTTGAAACCTAAGTGAGTTTTAGTTGAATGTTGCCTTCTCTGATTCATGCGCGAAACTGTGGTGGCCGTGACAGCCTGTGACTAGGGGTAATAGTACTTCCATTGGAATTTGACAAAATCGCAGTTGGTGGAGGGAAGTAGATAAGAATGTATTAGTGTGTTTTAATGTAATACTGATTAAAGAATAACTAAATAGTTCTGATTTTGTTTCCTAATACGTAATGTGTGTTAAAGCCATTTATGGCTGCCATGACAGCCTAGAAAGCATGAAACCTTTCTTTGTCCAAACTAAGAAAGGGCTGACTGTCTGGGCACGGGGCATTCTACATTGACCTAACCCAGCAAATCGACCCTTGCTTCATATCATCAAAGTCGTCTCATGGAATCCAAATGTTGCTACCTCTCTCCGTATTGTTGTGCTCCAGCCCACAACAAATATACCCTTATTTTTTGGCTTCCTAAGTAACTTTGAGAAGACAGGATGGGCAAAGATTTTTCCCAGTATCACTTTTGGCTGAAAGAATATCTGATTGTCTTAAGGATCCAGAGAACAGAGAAATACGAGCCCCTATTCCCGACCTATGCAATATGCAGTAAGTACCACGTGGGAATGTCCAGCAGTGGGACCAAGAAAGGACAGCATGGAGCCCCTGCCCTGGGAGGAACTCAGAAGCGCCTCACCATGGAAAACCACAGGAGTTTTGCATTAAACAGTGGACTGTGTTCCTGCATTTCAGTAATGCCTAATCAAGTAGGATGGTAGACTCCGAAGACATTTGTTATTAATTCTTTTTAAGGTTGTTTTCTATTAACTATTTGTGCATATGAAATTTCCACTCAATTTAAAAATCCAAATATTTTTTAAACTTCTTGGAACAATTTCCTCCTGGTTATATTGCTAATTGCACTAATCAACTCTTCTAGGCTAAGTTCTGGCAAACCACTCTTATTTATTAATTACAGAGTGTTTCTATTCCCGCAGAACTTTGGCAAATTCTAAAGAAAATCATTACAAGTGATTTTTGTCTCTTTGGCCTGACTACATCTTACTTAGGTCTCATTATAAATGGAGGACGGGAGCTTCCGGTGTCTGCCTCGGGCATCTCCAGCTCTCTGGCTCTGAGACTGACACCCTGCTTCTTCCTCCTAACCTGGCTGGCTCTCTTTCATTTTCCACTATGTTTTTTAGTTGAGTAATACATGTATCCACTACTTTTTTTACTGTGAGAAATCTCAAAGTGGAAATTTCAAAAAGGAAAGATTACAATGAACATCCATATACCCTTCACTTGTGGGCATCAATTGTTAACATTTTTTAATTGTTAGCATTTTCTGTATTTTTTCTTTCTCTGAAAATATACATTCTTATTGCTGAACCATTTCAAAATATGTTGCAGACATCGTAAAACTTTAGAATACTTTATCAACTGTCCCCAAAATATTTATAGCTCTTTTTTTTGAGGAAGATTAGCCCTGAGCTAACATCTGCTGCCAATCCTCTTCTTTTTTGCTGAGGAAGCTTGTCCCTGAGCTAACATCCGTGCCCATCTTCCTCTATTTTATATGTGGGACGCCTGCCGCAGCATGGCTTGACAAGCGGTGTGTAGGTCCGCACCCGGGATCCCAACCGGCAAACCCCAGGCCGCCAAAGTGGAACATGCGAACTTAACTGCTGTGCCACGGGGCCTGCCCCATAATGTTTTTTTTGATCCAGGATCCAATTAAGAATCATACATTGCATTTAGTTGTCATTCTCTGTAGTTAATGGACTAGAGTTCTGCTTTTGTGTGTGTGTGTGTGCGTGTGTCTCTTTCACGATGCTGACATTATTAAGTAGTTCAGGTTGGTTTTTTGTAGAAAGTCCCACAATCTGTTATTTTTTTCTGATTATTTCCTCTTTATTAGATCCAGGTTAAACATTTTTAGCAAGAATACTACATTAGTGATATTATTTCTTTCCTATTGCATCACTTCAGGAAGCATATACTGTCTAGTTGTCTGTTTTCATATTAAGCTTGATCAGTGGGTTCAGGTGTTGCTACCTGACCCATTCATTAGAAAGGTCCATAATTCACTATGAAGCTCTGAATTCAGGATACCTGCATTTTATAGAGTGTGAGGCTGTGCATATGTGCATTCCTTTCTTAACATTCTCTAAGACGTCCAGGATCTGCAAAAGACTACAAGCATTGCAGTTAGATGATAAAGCAGTGACAAAGAATTCATCTCTTCTCATTTACCAGAGAGAAGGAGAAGCAAGAAGTTTCCTGCACAGGCCATACATGAGTATTCTGGCTAATGAGAATTTGTATGGTCCCTGTAGCCAGAGTTGAAATATATATAACTTTTTTTCCTCCAATCCTCGCTGTCCTCCCATTCAGACCCATGGTGTATTTTAGAGAGCATGCATTTTCATTGAAGGTAATTGCCCAAGGGTGCAAAAGTTGCTTTTGGTGGGGCGTGGGGAAGCAATCTTAGATATTATGATGGGTCATGGCCCTCCAAAGGGCCACAGTACATACACGTATGTGAAGTATGTATGAGGTATTAAAATTTCATGGGGATAGGGAGATGATTAGTAATAAAATGTCTAAAACTACTCCTTAGGAGGATGACAATGAAAAAAAAATGGGTTGACACATAGTCATCTAGAGTCAGTTTCTGCTTCCAAGGTTGTTAACTTTTACTTCCTGAGGTGTTTTCTCATTTCTGAGGGCCAGCATGAATGGAAGCAACTCTGAGAGATTTCTTAATCCATTCCTTCTACCCTCCCAAACCCTATCAGTAATATTGCAGGTGGAAATTCTATTCTTCTCTCAAACGTCTTCAGGCACAGGAATTCCTATAGCGTCCTTTGGTATAACCCACTGACAGCTTTGCAACATCTGAAATCCTTCCATCCAACTTGAGCCCAACTATTGTCTTTGAATTTCAGCTCACCTTTTCTGGTGTCCCACATTAAGAAAGATCCAAAAATGATATCAGATAAGTGAAAACATAATAAAGGAGAGCTTTAGTTGCATATCCATTAAAAACATCATAAATGAGAGCTTTATTGCATATCAATGAAATATTTGAAGACTGTTACCAATCGTCCTTCAGCCTTCTTTCCTTTAGTGTTCTCCCATTGACAGAATTCTCTTGGAAGTCTTGTTGTCCCATTGCTAACATTTTTGTAGCTCAACTTGAAACCTTCCCAAAGCTCTCCATGATGTCACTGTGCATTATGGATGTAACCAACAGTGAACATGTAAAATTATTGCATGCTTTCTCCATTATATTGTGTCTTTGCTAAGTGCTGACTTGATTTGTATACATTTATAAATTTCCTGTTATATTTGCCCACACGAAATCTTTATTATATTCAACCATTTTGATTCATCTTCTTGAATTTCCTTCCTTCCTACCTTTAACACTCCTCGTAAGGTTACGCTGCTTTGTTTTATTTAATCACTTCTCTACTTGGCAGAGCATTAAGGGACTTGGATAGACTTCCTCTCATCTTTTTGTGGAGTCCGTCATTCTGGTCATTGGTGGAAGCAGATCACATCCTGTGGTCTCTAACCTACATCACTTCCACACCCCATGGGTATCACACTGTGAAAAAAAGAAATATCATAGGAAAAGTATAGCCATGTCTTCAAGAAATGTGTACAAAAGCAAAATCACCCAGAGGAGTTGGATGTGTCACTTGTATAATACTGTTGTCATTTGTGCTTTGATCATTTTGGCACTTGATGAAAAGGTGATTCTCTCCTAGAATTAGCCAAACAAAGTGTGTTTTGGAAATAATGGTATCTTTTTTCCTGCCTTAAAAAAATATATCAACAAAAAAACTTTTATAATAGGCAATTATTTTCTGGGTAAGTTATTAATTCTGGGTAAGAAGTTTTCAATGAATAAATAAGGATTTTTGTAACTTTTAGAGGGAAGAGTCCATTTCTAATCTGACAATTAAGCTATTTTACTAGCTTGTAGTACTCTAATTTCAAAGTTTTTCAGTGTCTTTTCTAATTGCCTCAGAAAAAAATGCTTACCATATTTTTAGTTCCATTTGTGATTAAGGTAAGGGTTTGGTTATAAGAACAGACTAACACAATTCGATCGATTAGAAAAGCAAGATAAAACTAAAGGATATTTATGAAATCAGTTCTGTGTGAGCTTAGGAATTGAAATGTCACAAATAAAAGACACATAACCATCATCTATGTCTTTTTTTGTGTGCTAATTCATTTCTTTAACAAATATGATGTTCTTCATCTTGCAATGGTTCTGGAACAGGTAAATAAAAAAAAACCTATTAATTCTATAAAAACTAATTCAAAATTTATTTGAGAACACACCTTCACAGATTTGTATTTCAGAAGTTCCTTTATCCTATTACGGATTTCCCCCAGGAGGGTGTCATGCATGTAATTCAACTTCTCCACAGATTAATGTCATACATGCTTTTTTCTTTCAGTAGGATTCAATGTTAAATTTGATAACAACCTGACATAAATATAATAAGTCTAGACTACAGAAAAACACTCATCACTCAGAGTAAATAAACCTGAATTTTAATCTCAGATTTGCCACTACATTACTTGTGTGACCTTGGGTAGTATATTTAATTGTTCTGTGCCTCAGATTTCTGAACTGCAACTGGGCTTATAGATTTGTTCCTATATAACTTATAACTATTTTTGGAAAATAATATAAGGTAAAAATATTAACATATTTGGAAAAACAAATATGAATTCTGTATGTTTATTATTAGTACATTTACAGTCACTATATATAACAATTGTGACTCCAGTAATAGCCACTGTTGCTCATAGCACAATAGAGTACTATATCTAACAAAAGCTACTTGTGACAAGGTGATTTCTAGACACAGGGCATTGAGGAGTGGGGCTTCTGGAACCCAATCACAAATATAAAGGGTTCTCTGCTTCTCAGTTCCACTGTCTGAAACGGGCACCAAGATGTGACAGACAGGCAGGCTGTGGACTGAATTTGGCCTGCAGGCATGTTTTGTTGGACTTTCACAGTATTGTACCACTTTTCTTTTTTTTTAAACTACTAACATTTAAAACTTGGGAAATTTGATACATAAAAATCAGAATTTCTGGCTTCTCTTACAAAATCAGATCTGGCAACTCCAGGCTTTTGTTTTCAAGTGGCAGGAGTCAGCTGAGAAGGTGTTGACCCATTTAGATG